CTTTTTTTTTTTTTTTTTTTTTAGTATATCTTTATTGATTTCAGAGAGAGGGAAGGAGAGGGAGAGACAGAGATAGAAACATCAATGATGAGAGAGTCATTGACCGAGCCCACAACCCGGGCATGTTCCCTGACCCGGAATCGAACCCCAATCGCCTGGATCCTAGGTCGACACTTAACCTCTGAGCCACGCCTGGCAGGGCTAGTTATTCCTCTTTTTAATAATTTATAATTAACCTACTGAAAGATGAATATCGCTTGGACATTAAAAACCAAGCTAGTAAAATTGCCCAGTGACTTATCGTTTGTTTGACCAGTTTTTAACATGCCTTTTTTATACCAGGGTGTCTGGGTATGCAGGGAGAAATCTTCCTTAGATAATTATTTGGAAAAGAATCTCAGAATGAAAGTGATCTAGGCATGTAAAAGGATATAAATTAATTGTATGTCCAAATATTTTGTGACTCGTGACAAAAATGTTACAGGAGTTGAGGCATAAAAGTGTTAGAATTTTTTCTTCAGTCCTAAATTTATTCCTCTTCTGATGTTACTGTTGGTTGCTTTATGTATCCTTCTTCCTGCTAACCACCTTTGTGTGTTTTTTGTTAATTTGCTATTAAATTTTACTTCCTGTTAGGCAAGAACAGTTTAGAACTTTCTAAGGTCACACATTGAAATCCTTATACAGATTTCACTTGAATCTGTCGCTACCTGTTGTTTCTTCAAGTAGAAAGAAAATGCCAGTAAGATTCTACAGGACAATTTATAGTTGAAGCTGAGAACTGACATCCTTTGGCTTTTTTGTTTACCTTTTTGTTCACATTTCCTGTCTTCCTCCTGTTCCTCTTATTGTACAAATAATACACAGTAAACTCTATACAACATTGAAACAATTCAGAAATATACCTAACAAGTGTGAGAAATCTCCTTTCACTTTTCTCCTACCCAAAGGTTATTGCCTTTCAAACGGTCATCCCTATGAAAGGTTCACTTTCCTTTGTACACAATTATAATTTTCAGAGTTTTATGTGTACATATACTTTACACATACGTTTCAGAGTGGTTCTTTGTAGTTCGGTTTTCCTTTTTAAATTTTTTTTAAGCTCATAAATGGGATAATAACATACCCAGTGGCCTGCAACTTACACTTTTCTGTTTTCATGTCATGGTATTGTTCCATGTCTGGATGTAGTTTATTATCATTATTAATCATTTTAATTGCTATGTAAGAATCTATGTGGATTTCTTTTTTCACCATCACCGTGCTTTAGTAAATGTCCTTGTATAGCATTATGCACGTATTTATTTAGCATGGACTGTTAGAAGTGGAAATTGCTGGGTCAAATAGAATTTGAAATAGTGTTAAATTGCTTTCCATAAAAGGGTTATCAGTTTTTATTGCCACCAACACTGTGTTCAGATTGTCTTTATTTTACTTTATTGCTAGCACTGACATTTATTCATCCTTTACTTTTTTGTTATTTTGGGGAAAGTACCTAATTTATAAATTCCTAGATTTTTAAGAGTGGAACATCTGTATATGTATCTTCTGTGAATTGGCTGTTGTTAATGTCTTTTGCCCATTTTAAACTTTTTGATTTGTATAAGTTCTGCACATGTTCAGAACTCTAATACTTGTTTATGTATTGCAAATATTTTCTTTCTGTCAGCTAGGTTTTACCTATATTTATGGTGGGTATCTTTCGTTATGTAAAAGGTTTAGTTTTTATGAGATAAGTTTTTTTAGCCTTTAATGGCTTCTGGGTTTTGCTTGGAAGGGCTTTTCTACTTCAAAATTTAAATATATTTATAAATATCTTTTTTTTATATAATACTTGTTTTGTTATTTTTACATTTGACTATTTAATCTTCTGGAATTGATTTTTGTATGTGAGGTGGAGAGGGTGACTTTTTTTACCCCCAAATAGACTCTTCAACATGTCATCATATTCCCCGCTCAGTTTTTATCATGAACTAAACTATGAAAAAGGAATGTGGTTTGTGGGCATAGTGTCTTGATTTCCAGACTTACTTTTGAGATGTTTCAGTTTTACCTCAAGAGATGTTGTTAATTTTCTTTTTTGAAAAATTTTAAAAGAGAAACATTTATTTGTTGGTGCACTTATTTATGCATTCATTGGTTAATTCTTATATGTGCCCTGACTGGAGATCAAACCCACAGCCTTGGTGTATGGGGATGATACTCTTAACCAACTGAGCTATCAGGCCAGGGTGATGTTAATATTCAATGTCAGAGTTTTAATTTACCATATAGTTATTCATTGTGAGGCCCTGAGAAAGAAAGATTACAAGTAAGACATGGTCTCTGCCACCAGTTTGCTTGCAGTCTAAATCAGAAACATGTATACACCAAGTTTTGTGACAAGCAAAATACAGGGTGAGGCAAAAGTAGGTTTACAGTTGTGAGTATGTGAAAGACAGTTTATTCTTGTGTTATTATTTATTAATAATTGTATTTTCCATGCAAAGAACTGTAAACCTACTTTTGCCCTGTTGTGTGTATAAGGCATAGTGGCAGCACAGAGTAGAGAATAACTATTTGACAAGGATAGAGAAGGCATCACTAGGAGAAACCATAGTCCAAAATCATAGGGATATGAAACTGCTTGTTATATTCCTAGAATTGTAAGTAGTTTAATACTGCTGTAGGAACTCTTATACGTTTATGCTTTGCTGTGGTTGTACCACCAGGTCTCCATCTGTTCTCAAAACAATTTTGAAGAGGTTACAGTGCTTTCTATCAGATGTGGACCCATTAAAAGGCTAGGTACACATTGGTATATGAACATGTATAATGTAATATTTTTATGGGAGTTGTATGGGAATATTTAGTAGTAATTGATCATTACTAATCTGATTAACATACTTATAATTTTATTAACACTTATTGCCTATAGCAAACATGTCTGACAAAGAACTAAAGAAGCTACGTAATAAGCAAAGAAGAGCCCAAAAGAAAGCCCAGATAGAAGAAGAGAAAAAAAATGCAGAAAAAGAAAAGCAGCAGAGAAATCAGAAAAAGAAGAAGGATGATGATGATGAGGAAATTGGAGGTCCAAAAGAAGAGCTTATCCCGGAGAAACTGGCCAAGGTACTTGATAATGGTGTTTATAGTGCAACTGAGTGAAATTTTATGACCAGCTATTGTCATTTTTAATTATCTTATTCAACCATTTTGATTATAGATTTTATAGCAAAAAGTCATTTTAATTTTATTGTCTTTTTTCCCCCTTGATCACATTTCACATTTAAAACTTAAAATAACGATCCCAATCAGGGTAATCTATATGGTGTAGTGGAAAGTTTGGGCTTCTGAGTCATTCTTATCTGGGTCCACGTATCAGCTCCTATACTTCACTGTGTGTCTTGGACACTGTGTCTAACCTCTTGGATGTTTTTCTCATCTATAAATTGGGACTAGGAAAATACTAGGCAGAGATGCTTGGGCTAGAGAAAATATATGTGTAAAGAAAGTAGTGTCTTTATAAGTAGTAACATGCATGTTTTTATATCTAGGCAAATTTTTATATAGGGACTCACTTGTTAAAAAGTGAGTTCTGTATGTGTATCTTTCACTAACCCATGTTGCCAGTTTACAGTATTTCTTTATTGGACTTTGCTATTTAAACCTAATACCTTAAGCTGAAACCAAGATAAGATATTCATTGTCACATGAACCATTTTGATTAATAACATACCTATACAGTTTCTCTTCTGGCCCTTGACGTCCTCCTACTCCATGTAAAAATAATTGCACAATTGATTATGTTAAAGTAATAAAGTAATGAGGACATTACCCTAGAGTTCAGTTTTAGCCTTACTAATAACTAAAAGTTAAAAAAATCATTGAATGCTTTATAACTAAGGAAAATTATAATACCTAACAAATAGAGTTGGAAGATAGTTTTAGAATTATACCAGAGAAGATGGTGACAGTAATATCTCATAGCATTATTGCTATTTAAGAACTATAGAGAAATCTAGCTTGGATTTCACAAGGATATATTGATAAGTATATTCACAAATAATTGTATATTTTCTAGGATAAGATACATTACCTTTTTATTGTTTTGAGGAGTTTATTGGAGGGATATACAGGGAAGTAAGCAAGCACAAAAAGTTGACCTTTTATGCCCTGGCCAGTGTGACTCCTTGGTTAGAGCATTGGCGTGTACACCAGAGGGTCAAGGGTTCATTTCCAGTCAAGGGCACGTACCTGGGTTGCAGGTCCAATCCCTGCTCCCTCTTGGGGCGCATGTGGGAGGCAACCAATTGACGTGTCTCTGTCACATCGATCTTTCTCTTTTTCTCCCCCCCTCTCCCCTCCTTTCCACTCTCTCTAGAAATCAATGGAAAAAATATCCTTACTCCTTGGGTGAGGATTAGAAAAAGAAGAAAATTGACCTTTTCGGCCTTATGGATAGCTGCAGTTACTCAGGGATAATATCAATTTCAGGGGCCCTCCATCTTTATGCCTCAGCTTTCTTTATTACCACTACTTTACTACCATAACTGACTTGCTGCCACCATTATTATTTTTACTTGCTTCCTCTCTACCCCATGACTTTCCTTAATGACTTTTTTCTCTGTAACTTTTCATGTTTTGCATTATAGGTCTTAAAGGAGAGGATCTATTTGGATTAAGTACTGCTGCAGAGCAGAATTCTATACCAGGCTTTTTAATAGACTATTGCGTTTTCCTTTTGTTAAGATTGTTATGGCTGCTTTAGAGCCAGATGTCAAGTTGTAGTCTACTCTTTGGAGCTAGGGGGTTGTAGAGTTTCAGAACAAAATAATGCTTACAGAAAGTGCTTCATTTGGAGGAAGCCTAGATGGAAGACTCCCAGTTTCGTGGACTTCTCTTCAGTAAAAACTATTCTTACCTGTTAGGCACAGAACATTCTTCGTAGGATAACTGTCTCCAAGATGCCCCCCATCTAATAGCAACTACATTTACCCATATACTCAGTGTGGTGGCAATGCCAAATTACATCAAGCCATCAGAACCAGAGCTGACATTGTAGGCCACTTTAAAAGCTGCCTGCTATGTCTGGGCCTATAATCTATACTTGCTTGTTTGGGATCCTATATTTGAGCATTCTTACATGTGGTAAATGGTAAGTTTAGTGTCTCCAGTTGAGAATATATATAACATAAATAAAAGCATTACTAAATTAGTAGTTCCTGTTAAAAAGAAGAAAAGGAAAATAGGAACAGGTTTAGTTAGTGAGTTTAACACTCAGTTAATGAAGTATAAAATCTAAAGTCTTGGTGGACGCTGTGTTGCTTGTTTCTTCATCCTATCATGAGGCAGTAGTTGTTATTTATGAGTTCCCTTGTGCACTGCCCCTCGTATGGTTCTCCTTGCCTTCAGTCAGTATTCATCTCAGCTGGATTTTTCTTCCATATTGTGCATACATACATGTCCTTTATCAGGAATAATGAGTCTTTAGTATTCTGTCTGTATAGGGTTTAATAGTTTTAAACTTTTTGTCTCTATGCTGGGAGTGTAGGGAGATATAATCCTACACAACATATTTTAACAGATTAGATTTCTGGTTAGTTTATAAATTAATGTGATCAAAACTGCCCTTGCAAATGTCTTACATTGTCCATCAGTGCAGTTCCATTCTACATTTATTTAAGTAAATTCATGGCGGTATAAATTTTTTTTTGAGGGACAAAAAAGAATATGGATAATGCTGGCAATCCCATCCATTACTCCAGTCAGTAAACATAGGACCCCAAATGCGTAGGAGATAGTTTCAGTTAGTATAATGCTTGTACTGATTCAGCTTCCCTGTATTCCTTGTTTCTGTTTTTTTGTCTGTTTGTTTTTAATCCTCACCTAAGGACATGTTTTTCACTAATTAGAGGAGGAGAGAGGGAGAGAGAGAGAGAGAAGAGAAACATCGATGAGAGAGAGAAACATTGATTGGTTGCCTCCCATATGCACCTTGGCTGGGTATGTGCCCTGACTGGGAATTGAACCCCTGACCCTTTGGTGCATGGGGCGACATCCTAACCAACAGCCACACCAGCCAGGGCTCTTTCCATTTTTTAGTAGCAGCCATATCTCAGTGATCCTCGTTTCAGTCTATACCCCTAGAGTCATGAAAAACTTGATATAGACCAGTGGCAATTTCATTTTCCAGTTCTTTTCCTTTCTCTGGTAGACATTTCTCCACTGTATACCACAAATTCCAATTCAGTAGAACTTAGAATTATGGGAATAAGAAGTAAAATATTTACAAATGTGTCAGAAAGACATACTTATGAGGGCCCCTATTTCTTCCTTTATTTCATAGTATCTGTAGCTGTTATAGTTGCAGTGCCATGTACTGATTTCTGGTTTAGAGCATGTATTCAGAATAATGCCAGCTGCTTCACACGCTGGTACAAAGTAACTCCCATAGATAACACTTCATTGCTTAATTTTTTTTTTTTTAAATGCTGTGGAATAATTTCCTTGGCCAGTCTGTGTTGGTGAAACTACAGTTACTGTACTGGGAGATGCATGTTGGGCAGATATGGCAAATCCACATTCCCTTGAGGATAAATTGTTACTGCCTCTCATGAGAGAGGAGAAATACAGGACCTGGATGTTCAGTGCTCTTCTGATAAATATGGTGTTCTCCACCCTCACCCCAGTCTACAGAGAATAGTCTTGTCTCAATATTCAGTTTAAGAGTATAACAGTAGTACAGTTACATAGTAAACATTATACCTGCCCAGTAATGATTATAAGTATGTGATTCATATGATATTTATGTAATTACTAAAAGGTGGTAGAGATAGAGTTCTATAAATAGAAATCTTTTCAAATTCCATCTCACCATTAATATGGCATTTGAACAATAAGGACTTCTAAAGAAATTGTAGTGGAACAAAGCAAAACAGAATGGATATTGTACTTTTTTTTAATAGCTTGGTTATGCTCACTTTTTTGAATTGAAAAACAATATTCACTCATTCTGTAATGTTCTCTACAGTGTTCTTACCCCTCTTTATCCTGTTTCACATCTCCCCTCTTTTTCCCCCCTTTGGTTATCTTACCTGTTTCTTTTACTGTCTTTCTTTCCCTGGTTCTATTGTATCTTCCTCTTTACTTGGATAGTTTCTATCCAGAAATAATACAGTCTCTATGGTTAAAAACCAGTGAAGAGTTTTAGAGTTCAAAATCTTCCTTCTTTAGATTATGGAAATTTAAAATATGACAGTTATACCTGGGTGACAGGTAAGTGATTTTTTTTAAGTGTTTTTAATAAAAAGAGTAACATCACATCTCCCCCCAAATCTTGTTTCCATTTGTATAATATCTTTTACTTTTGTTAGGTTGAAACTCCATTGGAAGAAGCTATTAAATTTTTAACACCGTTGAAGAACTTGGTGAAGAACAAGATAGAAACTCATCTTTTTGCCTTTGAGATTTACTTTAGGAAAGGTAGGCAATTAGGATATAGCGGCCCTGATAACATTGATCATTGTATTTCTTAGATATAGTCTCCCAACTCCAACAGCCTCACCACTGTAGGATTTTTTGGCAAATGCCAATTCAGCTTCCTCCCAGAAATGCCTGCTATGCACAAAATGTTGTGGAGAGGTACAAGGATATGATTATCTCTTCTTGGACATTAAAATCAACAATAGATGCACATGCATAACTAGGATTAGGGTCAGATATAGTAACTCGTGTGTGTGTGTGTGTATACACTTAATACATGTTGAACTTAGAATAGTGTGTGGTACACAGTAAGCATTAATGTTAGTTATTATTAGCTGTTGTTAAAAATAGAAGTGATGCTTGAGGTATATCTTGAAGGATGGCTCATATTTCTAAAAGGAAAGATGCATAGAAGGGAAGAAGCTTTGTTAAGAAAACACAAGTGTGTATAAATAATGTTGAGATTGACTATACTGTCTGAGCAGTATAGTTGCTTATACTATCTATAGTAGATACTAAAAAGATTCTATGGGATTGAATTGGTGTAATCCAAATGGTTTATTGAAAAAAAAAAATTATGAGGGTGATACATATTGAAGGGAAGGGAAACTGGTTAGTAAGATCCAATAGAAGGTTGTCTTCAGACAGTGTAACTAAATTGAATAAAATGGTACCTCTATAGAGTATCCATTAAAAATCATGTTTATCAAAAGTAACTTATAATGTTGGAGAAAAGTTGCCATATACTATTGTTTGAAAATAGGACACAAAACTAACTATAGCTTGATTTTCGTTTTAATAAGATACTTTAATGAATATGTACAGTAGAAAAGTGGCCAGGAAGAAATAGATAAAACAGAGGTTATCTCTAGGTGGAATTTGAATGCCTAAAATATTTTGTATTATATTTTCTATTTTCCACAATGATTGTGTTATAATTTGGAAAATAAGTTTAATAAATAGTCCAGTAATTTTAAACTTTTAACAGTTACTACTGCTTCCTTTTAACCAGTACTCTTAAATCATTCCCAAAGTGTAAAATGTAATAGCTGTTCTGATTAAAGTGGGGAAGGGAGATCTAAATTCCATTCACTTGGCTTCTTGGCTGTGTTCTGACCTCTGAAGCGCTCTCTGCATTAGCAGTCCATTGCAGGAGAGTGAAATGGGTCGTGACAAAGGGCATGGCAGTGTTTTTAGCTTTCTGAGTGTTGAGGGTAAGGGAAAAGAAAGGATCAGAGAAGCCTGGGGTTTTGAATTTGGTATTTGGAAAATGGACCAAATTAGGGGAGTCTTATAAAGACGTAATCATAGATGGTAGAAGTATGGTGAGAATTCTGGTGCAAACTTCCATTCAACAGGTGGAAGCACTGCTGAAGTTTGGGAACATGGGGGTATGAGTGACAAATAGTGTAGACAGAGACTAGAATATCACTGAAAACTCTACCTTTCAGGGGGAAGAAGAGCCAGGGGATTGACAGGAGAGGAACAGATCCTTACACATGTCAGGAAATGCAAGAAAGGAGATAGTTTTAAGCATATAAATAATTACGTTTTCTAAGTAGTGAGGAAAAATCCCTTTATTTTGATTAAAGGAGGTTAGGAAATGAAATGGCTTCATATTTCTTTCTTTGTTGATACGGCATTAGTTCAAATATTGTTGAGCGCTATCTAAATTTTTTATACTTCATAAGACCTTTTTTCTTAAAGAAGGTTGTGTGGAAATAGCTGACATTGCTAATCTGAGGAAATCATTGGCTTCAGTCATATGTTTTGTGGTTCAGATGTGATTGACTCTAAATTAGTTTTTCTATTTGTAAGGTCTTAGTCCTCCAAAAGAGGGCATCTTATTTTATCAAATGAAAAAAATATATCTCACTTTTTCTTTTTATAGAAAAGTTTCTTTTGATGCTACAATCAGTAAAGAGGGCATTTGCTGTTGATTCTAGTCATCCCTGGCTGCATGAGTGTATGATTCGACTCTTTAGTACTGGTATGTTTTCCATTTCTTAAATACTTGATTACAGTAGTTGAGAGAGACTGTATAAGTGATCTGTAGTTTACCATCATAAACTCAATCATTTTAAAGCTGTTGCATATTAAATTAGCTGAGGCAAAAAGCAGGGTTCTTGTCTTTGTGTGGAAGGTCTTCTTAAGGCTAAAATGTTGACTAATTTTGATATAGAATTGTTCAGTTCAGGTATTTGACAGTCACCTTTGTTTCTGTTTCTAAAACACATGTAAGTTGAAGTTTTGAATCATTTTATTATATTAAGCTTGTTAGTAAATTGTTCTGAAATTGAAGAATCTCTTTGAAATGGACTGGTTATCTCCTTATTTATTGGTCTTTAGCACAATCCTTTAAGTCATGTAATTTTTGTTACTAAATATGTGTAGGTTTAAAAGAGCTTTAAAACAATCATACTTTTCAAATATTTTGATGAGAATTCCATACATTAGTTTTAATGTAAAGTCCAACTACAGAATTTTAGAGAATGAAAGGTGGAATTTTATGCTAACTCTCTCATTTTATAGTTGAGAAATTTGGGACCCTTAAAGATTAAATTACTTATTCAAGATAACAGATAATAGTAATGAGGCAGGGATGAGAGCCCAGGTCTTCATATTATTCTATCTACTACAAGAGCTTTAAATGTAGGTAAAGTACTCTAGTCAAGTAGTGTTGTTTTGATTTTTAAGTAACTGGAGGAGAAATGGAATTTTTTCTAGAACAACGTATGGAATTTAGAAATACTATTAAATTAGTTATCTCACTGCTAAATACTCAGGCCCATAAGAATTCATACATTATATAAAATAAGGAGATTTAAACCAGACATTCCAATCATTGTTTTGAAATTTGCTAAACTGTCCCAATTAAGAACATTGTTTTGTCTTCAGAGGAAAAGTAAAGCCTTATTTAAATTATATATTTAAATATATAATCATCTCTGTGGGAGGAGATGAGAAAGAAACATTGATGTGAGAGAGATACATCAATTGGTTGCCTTCCGCACTGGCCCCAACCAGGGCTTGTCAAAGAAATTATTCCTGTTACAGAAATGGAGTCATAGAAATGTTTTTACTCAGTCTTTTTAAATTCAGAAAGTAGTAAATAATATAACCACATTATACAAAATAGAAGGAATTGCTGTTTTTAGAAAAAATAAAGAAGTTTCTTTTTATTCTCTTTTTTGTATTAAAAAAAACTCCAAAATCATGAACCAGAAATTTAAGGCAAGAAATAATAGTTTTAATCCATTCTTAATTAGGATGGAATGTACTTACACTATTTAAGTTTTCGAAAGTAACATACACACTTTGTTTTTTTCCTGTGGTTTTTTTGTTTGTTTCTTTTGGTTAATCCTTACCCAAGGATATTTTTTCCATTGATTTTTAAAGAGAGTGGAGGGAAAGGGGCTTGGAGGGAGATGAGGGAGAAACATGGATGAGAGAGAGACACATCGATTGGTTGCCTTCCGCACTGGCCCCAACCAGGGCTGGAGATGGAACCTGCAACCCAGGTACATGCCCTTGATCCCGGGAATCGAACCCAGGACCCTTCAGTTCATGGACCAGTGCTCCAACTGCAGAGCCACCTGGCCAGGGCCACATTTTGGTTTTACATAGTCAATTCTTTTGTGAAAGATAGTAAAGTAGTACATATAAGTGCCATGGAATTAGAGACTTTCCTTTAAATGCATTAAAAATTGCACTTCTAAATGGATTTGTGATAAGTGTGGATTAATGAACATGTGACTATTTTCTTGCAACAGTTGTTTCAGGAAATTAAATGCATCTTAGCTATTCCCATTTCTCCAGGTGTTCAGCTGACATTGTCAGAAAGACATTTACAAAGAGATCCTTACTTTGACTAAATTTAAGTGATGAAAGCAGTGATAATTTGTATTGATAAAGATGCACTGTGTCTTCAAAAAACCTTCAAGAAGTTGGGTGGACTGCTTAATAGCTTTGTTAAGAACAGGTGTGTACTTAAACAGAGACACAAAATTGGGGCATCTTTGTTATACCCCACAGGATTCCTTTAAACCAAGTTTTGAAAGTGCAGCCATAATGACTGTAAAGCTAAATTCTTTAACTAGTAGCTCATTTATTTGAACCACGAAGTTCTATAGGATCATAGAGAGATGCTGTTTAACCAACAAAGGGCATATCAATCAATTATTCACTTACTACTTATGTGTAGAACATATTACTTAGTTACTACTCAAGAGTTCAGTGTTTTTTAAACGTAGGGTAGTGATCTGTTGTTAAGACAGTGGAAGCAGTTTAGTGGGTTGTTACCAGCATTTGAACCTAAAATAAAAATAAAGTAGAAAATACCAGCCTGCATTGCACAAAGTAAGGATCAGTAAGTATTCTGTGAAACTAGCTTCACATAATTTGTGTATCTAGGATACATATTCATCCAAGTACAAACACTTGGTTGTAGGCAAAGTTTGAAAGCCACCACCATAGTTCCTAACCAAAGAAAAATCCACTTATGTTTTCAATCTATGACAAAAATAGTAACTATAATTTATTGGATATCTATTATATATCTATTATTGAATATCTATTATATATTATATAATTTATCCTTTCCTTACTGTCATCCTTCTAGGTTGGATATCACTTCGATTTTATAGATTAAGAAATAGGTTCAGAGAGGTTATTTTTATTTTTTAAATATATCTTTATTGATTTCAGAGAGAGGAAAGAAGAGGGAGGGAGAGAGAGAGAAACATGAATGATGAGAGAGTCATTGATCAGCCGCCTCCTGCACGCCCCTGACCAGGGATCAGGCCCGCAACCCGGGCATGTGCCCTGACTGGGAATTGAACCCCGATCGCCTGGATCCTAGGTCGATGCTCAACGGCTGAGCCACGCCCATCCAAGCCAAAGAAGTTATTATTTGTCCAAACCTAGGTCCATACACAAGTCTGTCTGGCTCAAAGATTCAGACTTTGTCTCTATACCAAAATAATACAGGTGTACCTCATTTTTTGTCCTTTGCTTTATTATATTTTGCAAATACTGCATTTTTTACAGATTGAAAGTTGTGGCAACTCTTCATTGAGAAAGTCCATCAGCACCTTTTTTGCAACAGGCTCAGATAATAGTTACCATTTTTTAGCAATAAAATATTTTTTAAATTTAGACATGTACATTTTTTTAGACAATGCTGTTGCACACTTAATAGAATAGACTAATATAGCATAATCATAACTTAGTATGTATTGGGAAACCAAAAAATTTGTGTGACTTGCTTTATTGTGATATTCACTTTATTGCAGTGGTCTGGAACTGAACTTGCGACATTGCTGGGGTATGCCTGCAATGAAACAAGCATAACTAGGATTCAGTCCAGAGAGGTGGGGGTCAGCTTTTCTCTCTCCAAATCCCAAGGCCTGGGAATATGATGGCTACATGTATTCATTACAGGAAAATACTTTGGTTGTCCTTTGGAATTTATTCCTTAGTGATAGCTCAGTTCACATAGCCCCTGAAAATAAAGGTCAAAGAAGTTAACCATGTTTTCTTATAATACTGATAAGTTTGTAATACCTTACTTGGGTATAGAAGAAGATGGAGATGGTGAGGAAAATTCTGTTGTCTTCAGCACTATTTGCTGTGACATTATTTACCAGGTAGGTGCCTTCAAGTCCCTGCTTTGCAGACTCCCTTTAAAGTTGATAGGAGTAACACCTAGGAGTTTATAAGGCTGTGGAACTACGTCTTTTGTCATCTACTTTGCTTTCTGTTTTCTGGAAATAAATGATCTGTTAGTGAAATGTCTTTGAGTGCCTTTAGAAACTCATTAGATTACTCCACTGACACATTTAAATTTAAATTCTTTAAATTAATATAGGTAAGCTCTTTAAATGTTGAATTGTCAGAAGATTTGTTTTAACTCCTACAAACTTTCTGCCTGCTAATGGAGTTTGTTTTTCATTTGTTCAGCAGTGTGTGACAGTAAAGATTTACCTGATGCAGTTAGAACAGTATTAAAACAAGAAATGAATCGTCTTTTTGGAGCAACGAATCCAAAGAATTTTAATGAGACTTTTCTGAAAAGGAATTCTGATTCATTGCCACACAGATTATCAGGTAATTGTGTCCTTATCTTGACCACCTAACACAACTTTATTTTTTATTTTAATGGGTCAGTAACAAAATTACACATTTTTTGCATGGAAGAGGCAGTGTATGTATGTCACATTTTAATCCATGAAAACAGGCAGCTTAAATATGCTTCCCATACAATTTTAAATTTCCTAGACAAAATTTTGACTTTGAATCAAGGTCAGTAGTTTCTCCTGGTTCAACATAGGCATTACAGAGAAGCAGGTATAACTGAATTTAGTTATATATATTACATGCGATAAAGGAGGAGCTTTCTACTTCTTTCTCCCATCAGTGTAGCCTTAAAATTAACTTGGATGTGACCATCATCTTCCATTTCTCGTTTATGTAAGATTGCAGACTTGATAGTACTACACACCTGAAACCATCTCACAGGCAAGGGTCATCTGGCAAGAGTCTGTGCTATAAGCCAAATTCTGGACTTGATGGGATCGCATGGCTGGTGCTTTAGCAGGGTGCTTTAAAATACCTGGCTAAGAAACCCAGCAGCTTTGTATGCCTTTGTGCAATTCTGAATTCAGATTTTGGCTCAGACATCAGAGTTGGGTATTCCCCTAAACCCCAAATTATGCTAAATTTTGAAAGAAAACTACCCATGGTCCTGCCACGAAAGGCATCCTGTTAGAATATTTGCATTTCTTTGTAGTCTCTCTTACCTTAATCATTCTTTTTAAAATTTTTATTGTTGACTCTATTATAGATGTCCCC